TGTCTTTATAGTAAATTGAAATAATAATTTAGAAGAGAAATTGAAGTCATAGTGCGTATTTTTACGTTTTTTATTTCCTTCTACTTTTCTTTATAAAATGAGCTACAAGTGGTGCGTAGTGCCACAATGTACTAATACTTCTATAAATAACAAACAAACTTCGAGTTTAAAAGAAAATAGATTAACAATCACAATAGATTAGTAGCTATGTAGAGTAGAGATGGGTGATAAAATTAGGTAAGGATTCGCTAAAAGTATTGACACTTTTTTATTTCATATCGACACATTTGAAGGTTTTCTTTTTGGTTTTTTTCTATATCATAAACATTTTACGACTCATTTATATTTGTTGACAGGGCTCGCACTTTACAGTATGTCGACTTACAGATGGATGAGACATTAGTACGAAAGTCTGTCCACTAAATGCATGGCACTTGATAATTAGACATCAGATTCCAATGATTTTTTTATTCGTTTTTAACTTTGAGAACAGTATATATTAACAAAATCGACTTTGTAATTTTGAATTATTTTTATTAAAGTTCAAGAAATGAGAAAAACATGTAAGTTGCTCTTTCTTTCTGTATTTCTTTTTGGCAGTTCTTAACAGCTGGCAAAGTATCCTGTTATCAGTAAATTACTATAAAGTATTCGATACCTACAGGCATCGATATTTTATGTATCTTTCTATCACTACTTTGACAGGATAGCTGATGACGTCACAGGCCAGTAAACAGAATCGTGATTGGTTGTGACGACGACCAATTATAGGACGTTTTCGTCGTTGAATAAATTCCTAAAAGTATTGCATTTTCTTTACGTTATTTTACTCAATCTAAACATGTTTTTTTTGCAGATGTTAAGAAATAAGCTTTATTAGATTATTATCTACCAGGATGACCACAAAATGCAACTTATTTTCGATAGTGTCAAATACCCTATTACCAGAAAGTTTTCGTATGTCTCAATAGGAGACGAAATTTTACTGCTATACTGGAAAATATTCTTAATGTAAATGCTTAAAATTATTATCTATCATATCTCACAGTACCAGGGACAAAGTGGATTTTTTAAACATATTTCATTAAGAATATTTCAGAACTTATTTTAAATTCATTATTGTAAACCCGAACCGTTGTCGAATTTCTCTCCACAAACTATGTATTTAAAAGTTATATTATTAAATATTAATAACTAGTGGTCTCCAGAGACTTCGTCCGCGTTTTCTATTATTTCTTCGTTCCTAATAGTTGCAGCGTGATGTTATATAGCCTAAAGCCTTCCTCGATAAATGGTCTATTCAACACAAAAAGAATTTTTCAAATTCGAACCAGTAGTTCCCGAGATTAGCGCGTTTTAACAAACAAACAAACTCTTCAGCTTTATAATATTAGTATAGATAATATCTATTTCTCTCCATAAAATTTTTACAACATATAAAATACAATGAACCTTAAAAATCGATCAATCTAGTACTAATTACATAAATAAATACCTACCCACATACATACATACAAATAAATAACTTACAAAATGCGAACGATATAAGCATGAAAGCAAGAGAGAGTCCTCCCGCACCAATTTCCTGAATATCACTACTATGAGCATTTTCTAATGCGAAATGGAGGAGCATTCCAAAGGCGAAGCTGCGAGAGTAAAGGATTTGGAAATAAATGAAGTATGATAAGAATGAGGTTGCTCCTAGAGCGAAGATTACGTTCGTAACCGAAACCAAGATATTGAAACCTAGTTTTCAAATATCCTGGGGTAAATGGATCATACAGAATATTAAAAAGCATATAGACAATTTGGGGGTTTCTGCGTTGATGGATAGTCAGCCATCCGAGTTGTTTCCTATAATCAGAGATGTGATCGTATTTACGAAGGCCATATATCCACTATTGAGCAAACGATCCAATTTGTTGAGAAGACATTGGTTGGTGTCATAATAGCAAATATTAGCGTAGTAGAGAATGGCTAAAATAAGAATCTGTACCAGTGCGATTTTAGTACTGAATGAGAGAAAAAGCTTTGTCTATGACTACTTTACGGCTCACTTTACCAATCTGCTGAGCTGAGAATACAATCTAAAGCCCAATTTTTTTACACTAGACTGAAATAGAATGATTTTGTCTTTATGTCTTATGGGAGTAATGTAATTCCTATCAATAGCTGACAGCTGCCGTAAACTGCTAATAACGATACTTTGGTACTTAGATCTATTTACAGTCACACCGTAACAGTTGGACCACTCCAAAATAGTATTGTTTTTGTCTACTTGAGCATATATCTGAAGATCGTCTGCATAGAGATGATAAGATGAGCGAAGTCGAGTAGTAAGAGAGTTTATAAATAATGTGAAAAGAAGTGGAAATAATATGCCGCCCTGTGGAACGCCGGCTGATAAGTCACACCGTTACGGATATATTCTAAGATATTCATAAGAGCTGTGGCTGTACTATGTCGAGGTCGAAACTCGGACTGGAAGGAAGGAAGGAAAGAGATAATGTATTATTAACATTTAAATTTGACACAAAAACAGACAATTCAATCTGTGACGTTATTGTTCATACTGATAGCCATATTCTACTCATGCATATGCATGTCGATTCACTTTGAAAGTTTTTTTATTAATTCAAATGGATCCCAATTTGGTGTAGTTTGCGATCACGTGAGTCACAGTTTAAAAATTGTTCTTTTAAAATAAGAAAAATTATTTGAAATTCGTATGTAATGTAAATAATATATAAAAATGCAATATTATTGCATTACATTCCGACAAAACCTGAAACTTTTTTTTTTGGAACACTAAAATATATTCAAACAGATGTTGACATGTTGAAATAGAAGAAATCGTACAATTACAGGAGGTACAAGGAGCCTATTGTTAAATTTAGAGCGAGTAAAGAGCGCTTGGAAAATGAGGCAAAAATGAGGGATGAGTTACGTACTTACGAGTACTTTATGGCCGCAAACTGGACGCCCGCGGGTACGGTGGCGATGGCAACCGCGGCCATACAAACTTATGCATTTCTTTCGAGTCGCGCGTTCCGCCGCGATCGCCACCGCCACCACACTCGTGGGCGTCCAGAGTGGTAAGTGTAAGTTTTACGCTAACGCGTTCACTAGTGAGCGCGTTATGAATTTGTATGGAGATTTGTAGTTCTTGGTAGTTACCGCTAGAGGCGCTGTACCGGATTCGATACTAAAATCTTAACGCGCTCACGATCGACAGTGAACGTAAACGTCAAAAAAACTTACACTAAGCGCTCAGTTTGCGGTCTAATAGTGTTGGTTCAGTCCCGTGAAAAAATAATTGTAATTTAGTTAAATAAAAGTTAGTGCATCTTTCCATTGTATAGTCGTTTTTTTCTTAGGATACTTAATTAGGTCATAATAATAGTAATAAATAAAGTCAAACAAATAAAGTTTAACATTTTTACATAGGAAATACGGAAAGATTAAGGATTAAACTTGGGGATTACATAAATGATAAAATATGTATTGTATATAATAGGCTTAAAATAAAATGTTATGTACTAAATGTTTAAATTTATTTTTTAATTCAATAGAATCGCCATCCCTAAAAACAAGTCTATTTATTTTATAAGGACGAAGTTTAAAAAAGGTAGTTGCTTACCTCATTGTTTAATTTTCTTTCAGTAGCACCTATACGCTTTTGTTCTGACAAAAATAACAACTCGTTATAATAGTAAAGTGATGCTTTTGGTATATCATCAGGGGAGGCACCAGATTGTAATGCCCTTTCAATTCTATTTTTTTCTTTGTTGAAATTTGTCCTCAATGCATTAATTTTCTTTTTTAATAATTCTTCAGTGTAGTTAGGCTTGTAAATTTGAAGCGATTTCACTATGCTTCTTAGAGCATTAGACCTTTTATTTTTGTCAGAATAGTCTTTATTCTTCACTTTCCATAATACAGGAAAACCTCGGTAGAGTGATATTAACAGTAGTACAAAATCACGTTCAGTTATATCTGCGCTTTTCACCAAAACCACGTCCAGTTTCTGTTTATCATCCGCCATTTCTGTGTTGAAAAATATTAGAATGAAAAAAGCTTGTCCAGTGCCGTCAAGCGAAGTGTATCAAGTGACGTCAATCAAAATTTCTGTCAATTTACGGATCAAGCTCAAGCCGTCGACCGCTTGACGTCTTCGTAGCATCAAGTCATAGATAGGGACAATAGGGACATTCCGATTCTAGTATATTCGAGTAACTATTCGATTCTTTTCGATACCATGTACTAATGTGATAGTGTTTAAAAAAAGAAAGCACTAAAAAGCATCACACCAGATGGCGACTTTAAGCAAAAGTTGATTTCCTACAAATGGAAACGAAGTAATTTCCGTTCCTTTTAACAGATATCAATGAAAAAGTTTAAAACTTAAATATTAATACAAATACGAAAAAGTACAAGTAGAATATGAATTGTTTATTGAGTTTTGAAAACTAATTTACTTTTATACATAAAGGAAAACCGGATGAGTTGTCATGGAGAAATCATGAAAGTACAGTAGCGTATGTATGTTTGTTTCCTTTTATTATTTTTCATTTTAAAGAATAGTTTAGGATATAGCACGATTTAAAGTTGTTTAACAAACAATATCAACTCCCTTGATGAAATGACTAGATTGCGAAATTTACCATCTTATAACGAAGTCAACGCATCGTAACTAAAAAGTATAAAATAAAAATAAATAATTTAAAGAAAAACAAAGCCCGACTGCGTAAAACCGAAATTAAAAAATAAATGAACAAATTTACTTAAACAAATACTAAAAAGAAAGAAACAAGATACACACATAAAACTAATAATAAATACTAATGCAGAACAGAACGACTCATAGTCGGGGTCCATTGGAAAGATTTGAATGGTAAAATTTAATGAAAGGAATGGTAAAATAATTAGAACTATGTATTAGTAAGTATCGATTATTTCATGGTATCGAAACACAGTTAGTCAGTTTTTTATAAGTTTATGTTTGTCTACTGTCTAGTATGACAACAAATGTCATGTGAAATGTCAAAGTAAAAAAAAAAATGCGAATGATCTGTTTATTTTTCACTTTCCTTGCTTTTGTCTTTGTTAGTGAATTTTAGTCATAATCAAAATATTTTGGTGATTCCATAAAAATATGTTAAAAGATGGATGCCGTGTTTGATATTTGTTACCTATCTTCTGAAGGTAACAGCGTAGAACCTGATGATATCCCCAAAACAAAGGAAAATGTTTGGATCCTCGGCAAGAAATACAGCGCTGTTCAAGGTATATTTATTTTATTATGTTTAATGCTAATGAAATGAAATAAGGGCTTATTATTTAAAATCTACTTTTCTAGTGACACAAGTAGTAAATAATCTTTTATTTCAGATTTGGATCGTATAAGGCGTGACATTAGTTCTATAATTTGGTGTACTTATAGAAAAGGTTTCGTTCCAATTGGAGATGAAGGCTTAACCTCAGACAAAGGCTGGGGATGCATGTTAAGATGTGGTCAAATGGTTCTTGGTGTAGCCCTGGTCAGAATCCATTTATGTGATGATTGGGTATGGACTCCAGATACAAGGTTTGTATTATGAAAATCTGAAACAACAAAGGTAACACTACACCAGACCAGAGACAAATATAGAACAGTAACATTGAACTCACTTGGAATTAAACCTGAAGAATACAATAATGGTTAGCAACATTCTGTAAAATATTGTTAATGAAAATTGCTTAAATAATCCAATTGATCCCTGGCACCCGAGATGGGATTCAAACTCATGACCTTTCGCAATTTAGGCGACTGCTCTTACCAATGAGCTATCCAGGACCTAACACGAAAGTTTAAATATTTGTAAAATTTTTTTTTGGCTGTTTGGGTAGATTGCCTAAACATTGATGAGATCTCTGTAGAAGCAAAAACATAAAAAATGTTTAAAAGATTCATCAGTCCTGTTAAGTCCTGGGTAACTCAGTGGTTAGAACAGTTGCCCAGATTGTAAAAGGTCATGGGTTCAAATCCCACGTCAGGGTGCCAGGGAGTGAATGGCTTTTTGAAGTATTTTTCATTAAGTATATTTTTCAGTATAGCATTGTGAATGGGAATAATTAGAATAAATTCTCATCTTTAACGAAAGTTCAAATATTTCTTTTGGCTGTTCGGGTGGATTGCTTGAACATTTATGAGAATGTTCTCTGTAGTAGCGAAAAAGTAACAAGGGCTTGAAATATTCATCAGTCGAAGGTTTGAATCCCATCTGAGGGTGCCAGGGACCAAGTGGATTCTTAAAGCATTTTCCTTTAAGAATATTTTTCAGTATTATTGTGTTTTATTTATTTCATTGTTAATGTGCAATTGATCAAATATAATAACATTGTGTTATTTATATAAATGTTTATTCAGGGACCCCACATACTTAAAAATAATACAACGATTTGAAGAAAGAAAACAAGCTCCATATTCAATTCATCAAGTAGCTTTAATGGGAGCTTCAGAAGGCAAAGAAGTGGGTCAATGGTTTGGACCAAATACTATAGCGCAAGTGTTAAAGTAAGTTCTTATTTTATAGTTATAAATAGCTCAACGCATTAATAGCTTTGAAGGAATAACACTTACTGTGTCTTCCATATTTCAGAAAATTGGTTGTTTTTGACAAATGGAGTTCATTGGCTATCCATGTAGCATTAGATAATACAGTTGTGAGGGAAGATATCTGTAAGTAAATAGAGCATTTGAATCATAATATTGATGGAACATTTATTAAAGATTTATTATAAAGCAAAACTGATGGGTTATATATATGCAATATATCACCAATATGACATCCATACTGGATGAAAGAAGCCGAAGATCGAGTTCGGTAGTGTGTGTTTGGAGAGGTCTATGTCCATCAGTGGTTGAACACAGGTTGATCATGATCACTAACAGAATCACTGAAAATGGATCAAAAACCACTCAATGTGCATTAAATCATATACTTTTAGGTTTGGCCAGATTACAGCTTGGCCAAACTTATAAATTTTCCTATTTTTTATATTGTGTGTATTTTTTAGTATGTAATAAAACAATAACAAAAAGTCACTAAAATTTAATTATTAGCCTTAGCACTTGAGTTTATATTTTACTACTAACATCTTTGCATGCCAGTGCCCCCTTGAGCTACATGTAAATTGTAACAGAGCTATCTCTCATTGGATGCCATGACAGCAACACCCAGCAGCACTTTAATGGTTACCCCAGGAGACACCAAAACTAGCTGCCTAAGTAGATGTAAGATGAGTTTAATATAAAGCCCATTGCATTGCATCTAGCACTTGAATTAAGTAGCAATGATTCTTATACATGTCATTTTAGGAAAATTGCATACTAACACTTAAGCTATCAAGTGAGTAAGGTTAGGTTACCATTGCCAGCCCAAAAGGTTTACGCGCCGACTATGCATTGCTCGTCCTTCTCTTGTCAGGGGTATAAAATTTAAATATTCCTAAATCTTATTCTCAACTCTCCAGGGGTATAGTGAATATGCCCTTGCTCTTTGACTTCCACTCTAGGTATTAATCCACAGAGTGTCACACAATTTCGCTGACCATCACTAGGGGAGGCAGGGTATGCAATAATTGCCTTCACCCAAAAGTGAGGGTGCATCACAGGGGGTTTAGTGGGTATGCTATCCACGTTTTGACTAGCCTGCAGGTGGGTCCGTGTGGATAGAGAGCCCCACACATCCAGACAGACAGTGCATTAAGCATTCCCCCTACAACAAAAAAAGGTATGCAGTAATGAAAAAACACTTAGGTATGGTGTGAAACAATTTGACACATTTTTATTGGCAAAATACTGCTGGAGTCTGACAAGGCATTCTAATCAGATATAGCTCTAACTGGGGTGGGTTAGTTATTGGTTACTTAAAATGTATGATTTTAAAAACCATTATTTTTTATTTATAGTGCAACAATGTATAGTGAATAATGATAGGGGTGACTCTTCATCAGCACCAGATGTCGGGATAGTGTCAGACTGGATGCCATTATTGTTGATTATTCCCCTAAGACTAGGCCTCAGTGAAATAAACCCTATTTATTTAAATGGACTCAAGGTAATAAGGTGCTACTTAAGTATCAATCTTATTATACTACCTTATTTTCAAATTGAGCTTTACTAAAAGTGCTTTGAATTTAGATTTAGAACATATATTTTGCTGTTCCACTGTTAATTCCCTTTTTTTCACAATATAACAATATTAGGTTAACAAAAACTTTACCACTCAATAGCTAAAAATAATAGAAATAATTATTCATTACAATTTTGAACTTTATAGATATGCTTTCAATGCCCACAATCAATTGGCGTAATAGGAGGTAAACCTAATCAAGCTTTGTATTTGATTGGCTGTGTAGAAGACGAAGTCATTTATCTGGATCCCCATACAACTCAGAGATCTGGATTGATTGAGGTAAGAAAATATTGCATTTAAAAAAAATCAGTTAAACTAAAATATTTGTTCAATGGAAACATGAATTTAAACGTGTGATCTCATAAATAAGTTATATACCATAAATACGTTTTTTTCAATGAATATTTCCTAAATGACAGAGCCTGTCATAATGTGATAGCTATATTTATGTTAGCTGTTATATACAATTTAAAAAAATTCATGAATTTGAACATTTACAGAATAAATTCACTGATGAACAAAAAGAAATGGACTGTTCTTATCACTGTAAATATGCTTCCCGAATACCAATGCTCACGATGGATCCCTCTGTTGCCGTGGTAAGTATTTTAAAATTGTTTGTTAGCTCTTAAGTACATTTTTTACTAAGCGATATAGTAATATTAGTAAATATGTGAGGTATTCTACCAAAAAATAGGACGCATTTGTACTATTAACTACTATATTTATATGGGAATATAAAATAGTGTTTATATTATGGAACAAGTGATAAGTCAAGGTTTTATTTATAATGCCTATATGAAATTGCAAAATTTGATGACCACAAATATGTTGTGAAAAAAAAAGAAACTTGTAAAACTGATTTCTAACATCAAAATTTATCAGAGGTTCATGTCAATGAAAGTATGTGGTGGACTCCGAGGTATTTAAAGAGAACCTCGCTTATACGACTTAGCCCACGTCTAGATAAAATCACGCTGTAATACTGATTTTCAAATAAACTAGTATTTTTTTTTTAATTTTCAGTGTTTCCTTTGTCGAACGAAAAATGATTTCGAACAGTTATGTGATACTATACAGAAAAAACTGATGTTGGAAAGTCAGCCACTGTTTGAATTGTGCGAGAAGAGACCATCACACTGGGGACCACACTCCACAGACTATGATCTCCAGAATACTACACTGTTCACTGGTAAGGTTTTTCTGTGGGCAATTTGGTGGTCATTTGATTTAGATTGGTAATGTAAGATCACAATAACTCGCAGTTACGACTGTCTGAATCTACGAAAATAATTTAAAGGCAAAATTTAACAATACGGTTTTATTTATTTGTTTTCCTCTGTTTTTCTATCCATCTGTCACCAAGCCTTAGCTCATGACAACTATCATAGTTAGACAGTTGAAATTTTTTAACACATGTATTTTTGCCGCTATAGCAAAAATACTAAAAAAATATTATTCCCATTCGACAAACGTGATTTTTTGCATTTTTTATAAATAATGATACGGAACCCTACCAGTGTTATTAATAAACATGGTATAGCGTTTACGCTAAAATTGCAATTTTAGTATTAGTCCTAATTCATATTATACAGAGAATAAGCAAAGCTACTATCTTCTAGGAGTAAATATTACTCCCGTAGAACCTTGTGCTATGTGCTGAATATGAATTTTTACTAATATTAAGTGCAGTCTCAGTGAAAATTTACTCCAACGCTAAACTTTGTTTATTAATAACCCTGCACGTGCGCGAGTCCGACCGAAAACGAAAGCACTAAAAAGCACCTCCACTAGATGGCAAATCTGAAAAACTGAAATTTGTTAAGTTTGAAACTTAGATATCAATACAAATACGAAAAAGTACAAATAGAATATGAGTTGTTTATTGAGTTTTGAAAACTAATTTACTTTTAAACATGAAAGAAAATCGGAAGGGTTGTCATGGAGAAATCAAGAACGTACCGTAGCGGCATCTAGTTTGATTTCGGGAACTAATTTTTTTTAAACCTCATGTGCACTCTTCTTTAATTATAAGGAGGAATGTATCAATAACTGTCTGAAATCGTATTAAGTAATAAATGATGAATTTAATATATTATATGTATTAACTAAATATTGAATGTATACGCGCGAATAAGACTGGGTATGGCAAAAAACCATTTGTACATTAATGACATTGACAATAAATCCAAATGAAACCTTAAGGTCCAGTAACAAAGTATTTATTACTAAATACAGGTCTAATTTATCCGATATACCTTTACTGCACAGGCTCTGAGATAAATCTGTGTATCATCCTCAGCCCTTTTACATCCCCACTGCAGGACCTTCCTTATGGATGGTTAAAGAGGATGGGCCGTAACCTTCCATGCTGGCCCAATGCGGATTAACGAGTGCAAATGCAGCTGGGACCGACGGCTAAACGTGCCTTTCGAAGCAATAATGGTATCTCGAAATAATAATTTTTTGGTCACCCATCCCGTGACCGACCCTTGCAAAAGTTACTTAGCAACAATGATCGTGTGCTCCAGCGCTTATTCACTACGCCAACGAGCTCCCTAATCTGTGTATGTGTTTATATAATTATGTTTGTTTCAGAATTTGAAGAAGTAGACAGACAATTTGATGATTCAGATGCTGAATTTGAGATACTATGAGATAAGTTTTGTTATAATAATGACAAACATCACATTATTATGTCCTATATAAATACATATATTATGATATTGTATAAAATTCAAATTATGAGTCACTCTTATAACATACTTTTATATATTTTAATATAATTCATGAGGATTATGAAGTTTGGCTTTTTATGCCTAGGTTACAGCTATTGCTAAATCTAATAAATAGACTGGAATAGTGAAATACTTCATATTTTGCAGTGCCTTTAAAATTTAAATGTAAGTACAGTCAATGACAAAACGGGGTATGCAATATTTATCTATTTTCGTTTAATTCTTCATTTAATATCAAAATTGTTTGCGAGAATTTGACACTTTATTGTAACCTGATATGTTACTGTATGTACATTAGTGATCGATCCTCACATTCCTATTGTATTTATTGCAGCGTTTTAAAAATAAAATAATATAAGGGTGAAACGGGAATATTATACGAAGCTCGGCGTAGATGGCAACATTAGCACTAAACAATTTTTTCGAACATTTTGTCTTTTGGAAATCAGTGATTCCCTTCCTTCTTACATCCAAATATGCAATGGTGTATTATTGGATAAAATTACACTCTTCCTATTAATTTTTTTAAATTAAAAAAATGTAAGATTACTACTATGCGCACTATAACTTTACTCTTTGCTTACTACTCTGTGAATGACGACGGCTGAAGGCCATAGAAGCCAGAGCCGTTAAAACCTTTTTGAAAAATGTGAATGATGTTTAACATGTGCTAATGCTGCACTCTGGCGGCAGAAAGTTGCAGTCTGTCTCACGAAGGAAATCTCGCGGCAAAACTATTATTCCTTTGTGATAAAAGCGAAAATATTGTGATCGTTGGGAGTTTTTTCGTGAGACGAACTCTACGTCCTATTCATGTTAACAGAGAAGAAGCGCATCGAATACACGTACGTTTTTTATATGTACATACAATCTTTAGACAAAGTGAATTTGGTGTATTTATTTAGATTGCCGCTTTGATGCGCTTCCAAACTGTCCAGTATAAATTGACCCTAAGAAATTTAATCAACAACTTAGGAACTCCTTAGTTAAAAAACAAGACTATGCTGTGTGTATTTTATATTATACATTATTTTATTCTCTTAATAAAGTTCCAATAGCAGAATTAATATTTTAATGTCAGCAGAAGTCGCTTTTGAATAATGATTTGTAAAGGGAAATAAATATTAATTTTAAACATCAGAAATAGGTGGTAGAGCGGATATAAAAAAAAATATTTTCCATGTCCACTAGATTAGCTGCCGGCCACTGCAGTGGTCATTATTTTGGAAAATATGTGAAAGTTGCGCAAAACAATAATAAAACCTACCATTTTGAAACGTCACCATAATAATATAAATATACTAGTCTGCTATTTTGAAAAAAAAAAATATATCGAGATTATTTTAAAAGCATAAATTTCCGCTAAAGGGGTAAATCTTTTCATATGAAGCATGGCTATCCTATACACTCTGTTGACAATTTGTTTTACCTATGTCTAGTTCTTTACAATATTTTAAAAAGACATAAAAGATAGAGACTATCTGCTAATTTTGTCTTCACAGTGTTCTTCAAACAAACTAAAGGAACGTTTACTGTACGCTTGGCGAACGTACCAATCCGTATATTTATTAGAAGCTGTGTGTGCGATAGAGATAGCGCTCTACGGAAGCGGAATTAGCTTATCGTATTTTTCCAAAAATATGTAGTTATATAACTTTTTATGTCTTCAAATAGCATCCAATAATCAAATTTGTTTTCTTTTTTTTTAATCTGTTATAAATTTCTAGTCAGGTCCAAAGTATGTCTGCTAATTATTTTTACGATTATGTATTTTATGTACCTTTGTATGACCATAAATAATATGAATTGAAACGCATCATTTTGTGAAGAATTCCCACTGTAATAATAAGAAAAGCCAATGCAACAAATGCTTTAAAATTGCTTCATATTGTATATCTAGTAAGCTTTTCTTGAAAAAATGTAGATGTTCAGTATACATTTATGTATCATTTATTCCGTGTCCATTAATGTGTTTTGAAAGAAGTGGCCAAAGACTCAAATATTTTTAATAATAAAAATCCGAAAGTGATGTGTTATTCTGCATTTATTTGTATTTCAATCCTAAATCACCCGACATCGTGATAACAATGATATCAATTCTGTTGCACAAACTAGACTACATTTAGTAGTGTTATAATAATTTCTTTATATTATATAATAGTAATATATCATCATCATCATCATCAGCCCTTTTACGTCCCCACTGCAGGGGCTCAGGCCTTCCTTATGGATGGCTAAGGAGTATGGGCAATGACCCTCCACGCTGGCCCAATGCGGATTGGAGGGTATTGACGACTGCAAATGCAGCCGGGACCAACGGCTTAACGTGCCTTCCGAAGCACGGAGTAGCTCGAGATAATAATTATTTGGTCACTCATCCCGTAACCGACCCTTGCGAAAGTTGCTTAACGACAACGATCGCGGGCCGCGGCGCTTATCCACTACGCCACCGAGCTACTTATAATAATATATGATAATAGTTTTGTTTATCTAAATATTTATGTTTTTATCATACTTTATTATAGTCAAATTTGAAATCAGAAAATTAATATCATCGCCGTACGTAAAATATGTAAATAAAAAGTAATAAGAATAGTTACATATTTATTGTGTAAAATCAAATCAATGAAACGTTTTTAAATCGATACCTAACTACAGTTGTAGTAAGAGTTAGGAGGCTGCACTAAGTGCTATGTGGGCCGTTTTCATTTGAGTAGATAAACCAATGTTAACCATTCACTTGCATAATGGTAGTGGCATGAGAAGTATCATGTTTACATGTTCGTTTTGCTTACTGAATTTGAGATATCACTATGAAGAAACTTGCTTACTGCCGTATTAATGGCAAAACACTCGTTGAAAATTCCTCATTTTGATGAAATAAAGATGAAAGTTTTTTATGATTTTTGGTCATTACTTGTAAATAATGTAAGGTAAGGTCAACTATTTTCAAAATAATTTTTATAGGTTTTTATAGGCTCGAACGTTTTTACTGCTCTTACCGTTTTTTGCTGTCAGAAGGCAATATACAATATCTAAAGAAATTAAAAGATTATATTCCTTATTAACGTTTATTACGTACATTTATTATTATTATGCTTTAGTAGGTAAGCAACAAACGATCGAACGACGAATCGACGAGATGGAACACACATGTACTACGAGTACTATTAATATTAAATAATATACAATATGAAATTTGTAACATACAATACCGATTGGTTAAATTACCTTAAAAATATAGTTGATTTTGACAATTATTTACAGATCCTGCGATTGGCTATGATACAGACATCAACAGCAGGAATCTATATTTCTAAAGCACCAGCATTGAGACCTCATTTACGTCTCCGCAAATATGTAAAGGAAAATGAAATTAAATACCTTTGTCGGGTCCCTTGTCAAATCAATGTTCTATCATAGTGGGGTTGGCGTTAATCGAACTTTCGATATAAAATTATCATCTTTTATACAATGATGTTTTAAAAATTTTATATGTATGCAGACCAATGAACGTTTTCAAAGTTAATATAGCCACAATTTGGCACAAATTGCTTTCATTTTATGAATAGCAATCATACAAATCTATAGCCAATCACAGTACTCTCCAAGAGGTGAAGATTACCATATATTTTGGCCCCAATACATCAAACTGTTTGCCTTAAAGATGGACCAATTAAATGTTTATATCTACAGGACCATTGTAAATATATAGGTAAATATGTTGGAAATTATTTTTGTACTACATCATTACTGTGTTGGATAAAAGATATGATACATATAAAAATAGAACTACCCTGAAAATATTCTTATTATATTGCACAATATAAAACAAACAATAACAACACAAGTAAAAGCAAAACTATCTGTAAGTAATATAAAAGAGTCTATGCTAAAAATTATGTAACATTTACGTTTTAAGATTATTAGGTATCACTTCAAGAACATAATGACTAGCACCAGGAAAAACTAAGGTAAATATTGGCGTTATTTATATTTAAAACTATGGTAACATGCAAAATGCAGTGGGTCTTTAAACCACCTATGACAACACTCCTGGAACTATACATATTCCCATGGTGAAGTTAAAAATAAGTTAATATTGCAAAGTATCCTTAAAACAAATGAAAGGGTAATCACAGCAATGAATAATATAAAAAATTACTAAAGACTTTTCAAAAAAGTGACTACATCCAAATAGATTTTTAAAAAATTTCCACATCACAACCATACATAAATTCAAAATGTTCAATTTCAAAAATATTACAATATACATTTTAGCATTCAAAAATATATTTCTGTCTAAGCAATTAGTTTTCTACTGGACGTACTATATTATTTACATTTTTTTTTATGTTTAAGACTGATTTATTAATGAAACATGTACCTACTTATATTATACATATATGTAAACTTTGTCACAATACTAACAGCAGACCACAACACCCACAACAACAACCATTAAATATACACTCACAGGTCATCATTTTGAAATTGAAATATAAAAAATTTATACATTGATAAAATAAAATTGAAAGTTGGTTGTGTTTCAAACTACTACTGCATACATTGTTTATTCTACTATATGTTCGTACATATACTTGAATAAACTTTCATAAAATGACTATGGATACTTTGATATATAATGGTAACTGTACACAAATGTAAACTCCTTTTACATTATTTGAACAATCAGAAGTATGATAAAAAGATATATAATGTACCAAATCTTCACATCCCAGTGGCAGCCCAGTGGTAGTAATAGAATGTGAAAATGAAATCAACACTTGTACAGTACAACAATAAACTTGAATGCACCTTAAAAATGCTTTTAGATGCTATTGATTGATGATGTACATGCAAAGAATACATGACATTTTTGTCTTGATGAAACTTTTATCAAAATAGTGATAGTTTTCCTTAATTTAAAAAGGTTACAAAACCAACACTGTTAGGAAAATTTAGAACTCAGATATAACTTTAGAATAGAGCAAGAACAATATTGCAAAATATAATTACTTAAACATATAACATGCTTTAATACTGTGGTAATTTTAATATGAAGATTATGAGAAAGAACTAGATTTTCCTTACTGAAATTGAAATATACAAAAGTTTGTACTGTTTAGAAGTTTGGTTTTATTAATAAATAATGTTTCCAATAATTATGGCAACATTATTTGATTCATACTTTGAGAACAGTTGTAAAATGAATAAATATATATAATCTTCAGTACTGTGATAGTACCCAATATAGTTCATCTTTTTGATGAAGAAAAGTTAAATCATCTGCAATATAACTAGTCTGCATTACTTGCTGTAGCGATTTTATCACTTGTGAAATTTATAATTAAAACAGTAATGTTGTCCACTGAACCTCTATAGTAGGCTTGTAGTGTCAAGCTTTTGGCACCAAAATCTGGTTCATCTAATCTTTCTTTAATGAATTTAACAGCCTCTTCATTTGAAAATGTATCCCATAAGCCATCAGAAGCTAACACTAAGAACATGGGTTTGTGGTCATCTAAATTAAATGTAAGAATATCGGGATCAGCAATAACAAATTTTTTATCTTTCAAAGGGTAGTCACCCATTGCTCGAGATGTGGCTAGTATGCCCGCCACTCTCCAAACTCCATTAAAGGCAATGTAACCTCCGGCAGCTTCAATTCTCTTTTGTTCTCTCACCTACAATATAAATTATGTAAATAAAACCTTATAAAAAGGATTTATGCTTTCTTATAAAAAGGAGTTAAACTAACCATTTTAAAAATAATTTAATGCTTATTCAAATTTATTTTATTTTTCAGAAATTCTTATTATATCACTGTTTTATAATATTAAATAATACTATAGATATACTTACTTGTTGTGGTTTATGGTCAAAAGACACAGGTATGGCATTCCCTCGAGAGTCACACATAACTCCTCTGGAATCACCAACATTAGCAACTATTAAGTGATTATTTTCCATGACAGCAATGAGAGCTGTGGTTCCAGCAACATTCATAGATCTTTTTGCTGCTTCCACCAGCATTCTATCTGCTGCCAAAACCTCATCGGTTAAAAGTTTACCATAGTTTATCTTTCCTTTGTCCAAATAAGAAGAAATTGGAATAACTATGTTTTTTAAAGGTTTGATGGCTGGTCTTACTTCTCTTGTTATAGGTCTAGCCTTGGAGAGTTGTGCTAGTAATTCTGGGTCTGTGATTTCCTTTCGAGAAGTATCATCAGCTGTACTGACTGACTTTTTAAAACTAGATTTCCTTTCTACACTAATTGCGTTTTCTTGTTCCTTTGATTTAATTTCTTCTGAAGTCTCTTTGGGTGGTGTACTGAGGACCTTACCATCCTTGAATGCATTAATTTCTACTATTTTATTATACAAGTTTTGAATAAGATGATCTTTTGCATAATTAGCAGCAAATTCACCACCATGTCCATCAAATATAGCAAAGAGTGAAATTCCTGTATTGTTGATGTTTTCATTGATAATAAACCTATCTTCCATATGCATTCTCCTTCCTCTAATTGCAAAAGCTGCGCTCAAAGTACCTTTCAACTCCCAACTTTGTTTATCAGCATCAGAACCCTCCATAAATTTCATTCTTTGAACTGCTCCTATAGGACTCATAGCTTGAGATAACCGACTTAACAAGGTACGACTCCATAGCTCTATTGTTTGAAGATACATCAAAAATAATATTATGCCTAAAGTGAACACCACGACTTCTGATCGGAGTAAATAAAGCCGCACCATTTTCCATAAATAGCTCGCGGGAGCATCGAATGGAACACTACTTGATAAACGTGACAATATTTTCATGAAAGAAATATAGGTTTGATGTAAAACTCTATCTTCTAATTCGTCTTCCATGTCCTTGAAACGAAATGTGTCGCGTGTAAGTAAAGGCTTTTGCCGAGAAAAATATGCCTTAACGTACCTATCAGTTCGTTGATTTGTTCACTTTTTTTTTATAAACATTTCCCATTTCGTATTCTACAAAGGAAAAAGTAAAATGTCAGTCAGTTCAGTACTAATGTTGCCAACTTCAATTTTCAAAAAGCAGTAGATGACTGCCAGAAGAATACCTATCATTTAAACAGAAAGTGGTAGATTTCGGATATGTCTGGAGATTACTTATTTCAAGGATTTACCGCGTTTTTGTCCTGGGGTTGTCCTCGATGGAATACCGTTACCGGTATGGTTCTACTTCGCCGAGTCATAGCCGGTAAAAAATAATCACTTCAATTCGTAGATATATGAAATATATAATCATAATTATATTAAAAAAAAACAAGAATTGATAGATATTTTAGGACTCGTTGTTCAGCTTCAGCGGTTGAAAATTATTTAAAAATTTAAAAAACTTCAATTTGGGGCGCATTACCGCATTCATCGATGCTTAGGACTACAAGATAGACCAGACCATCATCGGCGCGGCGCCCGGGTGCATTGCACCCCCTGCACCATGGATAAAGATGGGCCTGGTGTAATGTCGTTAAGCTACATGAAATATATAAATATTCAACTATCGACAGGCGCCTCCGGGTAAAGACAGCCATGCAGTTACATTTATCATCATAAATCATAGGATTGGCCTTCCATATAATGTGCTTTGTCCGGAGGGCGATCGCCGCATATGGAGAGCCAAACAAGCATTTCTGACGAACGTTGGCTACGAATTTGTCTAATTTTGAAAAATAGTTTAAATTTTTTTCATTATATAATAAGCACATTATATGCTTATTATATACAGCACATTAAATATATTGGGGAAAGAACAATGGCCATCTGCCTAACATGCTTGGACTAATAAAATCGAATAAAACGTAACTTGATGAAACATATGTTATTTTGTTTGCTTATGCAACTAGAACACAGAAAGACATTAAATATATTTTTAAAAGCTGGGAGTATCGAGTAATTGTGTGATATGTTTTTGAGGTTATGTCGTACTATTTTAACTGTATCATTTTGAATTAGAGGTATTACAGTTGAAATATGTAAAGCACACGTCAGATAATGCCTAATCGTAGTCCTAGAAGTGCATACTTTCACTTAATACTTCAAACTTACTCCATATCTGATATATTATTTTTATTGACTGTAAGAAATAAAATCATTTTTTGTGAACCAATGAACATCAAAAAAAATAATAGAATTTTCAAGATTGCTCTCAATAACTCTACTTTTCTACCTTACACTATAACTTATATAAAGTAGTAGTGAAAATACTAATTTCAAAAGGATATTATAAAACAACATGTTGATTTTTCTTTTCTTTATTACAACTCTAACGAATACCACATCACAGAATGCTGCAGGAGCAGCTACATTCTGTTTGTATCTGGCCCATTCAAGATACCAAACTATGGTCATTATATGAGCACAGCATCCCAGTGTACATCGACCAATAAGACAATTACAGCAGTGTTCTCTTATGCCATCTAACCCGGATGTGTCATTATTTTTTTAAATGTACACATAATATTGTTTCCGCCCAATGTCTCGATTTAATTCTACTCCTTATAATTAGGACTTTATTTATATTTAAGTCTAATTCTAATAAATCCAGAGAATCCGGTATTTCTCTCCAGACCTCAATTCTATACTACCCATGGTACCTAGAATGCTCCCCATAATACAAAAGATAATACATAATCACCGCCAAAGTTACAAAACGGTCTGCGTAGAAACACGTCTACACATACTTGTTCAAAAGGATTCGGCTTTTTGGCGGGAAACTGAAAGCGCGGATTTTTAAATTTCTTAATAAATTTTAATTAAATTACTATTACAAACACCACATAGGAAGCTGTACGTACGTTAAAAATGACGACGGATGATGACGACGAGAATTCCATGGATGCAGACACTGGTTGGACGGATACAAGTAAGAGAAAACGTAAACTTAATTCCAATAAGCAAACTAAGGATAAGTCTTCCAATGTAGTTGACTCCAATTCGAGATTTTATACAAAACCAGGCTATAAAAGGCTTTATTCTGATTTGAATAATGACATCGAAGAATATCCAGTCTATGTAGAAAGTCAAAATAGAAAAGAAAAGTTAGGAAACAAAAACCCGCTTGCAATATCAAAACTATTCAAAGGTGTGAAGGGGATACACGAACGTCGTAGAGTTAGTGCGACAATAATAACAAGCAGCTGCAGCAAATAACTTCCTTTCCAATGAATGTCTAGTAGATAATAACATGAGAGCGTACATCCCTGCTTCCTCTGTGGAAAGAGTAGGGGTAGTTAGATTCATTCCAAAGGAAACAACTTGCAGTGAACTCTATCAGAAGTTGTCTTCAGATAGTGAAATAATCTCGGTCAGAAGATTCATGAAGAGACTAGGCAACGACTTGGTACCACTAACTACGATTTCCGTTACCTTTGTAGGGACAAGATTACCTCAACATATATTTCTTGATAATTGGAGGTACAAAGTATCTGAATATATCCCACCTATAATGCAATGCTTTAAGTGCCTAAAATTCAATCACTCAGCCAAAGTATGTAGGAATAGTCAAGTTTGTTCTAAGTGTGCAGAGAGTCATTCATACAAGGACTGCACTTCAGAGGTTTTGAAGTGCAGTAATTGTAGTGGCGATCATTTAGCGATATCTAAGTTATGTCCGATTAAAATGTCTAAAATTGAATCAAACAAGAAAAGTTATTCGAATGTACTAAAAAGTAATAGTTCATTCCCACCTTTACCTAAAAGTAATGTATTGAACCTGAATAAGTTTAAAAAAGATGTTTCTGCCCCATTGAAACCTAATGACATAATAAACGATGAGAAAATTATGAACACTATAGTTAAAACATTGATATCCCTTGGCAATTCTAATACAGCTAAAACAGTAACACATATTAAAGAAACATTCATTAAATTATTAACTTCTTAATGGGTCATTTGAAAATTGTTCATCATAACATTCAGAGTATTAATAACAAAAAGCCATTGCTTTTTACATTATTAAATGACAATAATATAGATATATGTTTATTAAACGAAACATGGCTTAAAAACTCTTCTCCGAAAGTTAATTTTCCAGGATACATATTTCTGAATAAAAATGCAAAAAACGAACATGGTGGAGTAGCTATTTTATTAAAAAATTCTCTTAAATATAACATAGTATCCATTCCTTTTTACGAAGATATACAATGCATAGCTGTATTGATCCAAACAAACAGAGGTTCTCTTTCCATTTTATCGGTGTATTGTCCTCCTGGAAATGTAAATAGAACTAGATTTAATAAATTAGACAATATTATTCGAAACCTTCCAAAACCGTGCTTAGTCACGGGAGATTTTAATGCGCATCACATTGCATTTGGCTGCATAAGTACAAACTCTAGGGGCAATAAACTATTTGAAATATTGGATAACAATGATCTATGTATCTTAAATTCAGGTGAACATACAACAATTCAATCACCAAATAGAAATTCCTCAGCTATAGACGTAAGTTGTATAAGTCCATCTTTGGCACCTTTATGTGAATGGCGTGTAGGGAATGATCCACTAGGCAGTTTCCATTATCCAACATTTATAGATATAAATATATCTCCATCAGTATATCTAGTTAACAATGATTATGAAAAGTTCTTATATAATAAAGCTGATTGGCTGAAATATCGTATTAAGTCTGAAGAATACTTTAAAGACTTTATTGTAAATATTAATAATCCACTCCTCACTTATGAAAATTTTAGTCTATTACTTGAAATATTAAAAAAAGAATGTGTCCCTTTATATAAAAGTAGACAAGGTCAAAAAAGGCGTACACCAGCTCCTTGGTGGAATTCCAGATGCTCTAATGCAGTAGATGACTCTCGCAAAGCTCTGCAAACATATAGAAATAATTGTACCTTAGAAAATTATATTAACTATAAGAAGTTAGATGCTCTCAAAAAAGTTACATTAAAAGAAGAAAAAAAGAACAGTTGGAAAAACTTGTGTCACTCTTTTAATAGATTTACCCCTATTACTCGTATCTGGAATTTTATAAAGAGGTTTAAAGGTATTGATAGAAAAACTGTTTCTAAAAATGATGAGTGGATTCCAAATTTCATAGACAAATTTACCGAACCAGCTGATGTTAATGATGAAGATATCACCCATCTTTTTGAGTTTAATAATGACAATATGGAATTATCTTTCTTGCTAGAATCATTCCAATGGGATGAATTTGTTGCGGCAATTAATTCAAGGAGGGACTCTGCCCCTGGTTTAGATAACATTCCATATATCATGATTAAAAAGCTTCATAGATCTGTTCAGTCATTATTATTACAAATTTACAATTTATTATGGGAAAAACAACTTATTCCAAACTCATGGAAATCTCAATGCATAATTCCAATCCTAAAACCAGACAAACCAGCAAATCATCATGACTCGTATAGGCCGATTTCATTGTCTTCCTGTTTAGGAAAGCTATTTGAGCATATGATCAAAACAAGATTAGATTTTTTTGTAGAAACACATAATATCTTACCTTCAAACCAATTTGGCTTCAGATGTGGTCGAAGTGCAAATGAAAGTTTTGTTACTTTCTTGTCTGATATTAAAAAATTGTATCATTAGTCGCAATAGTGCTCCATGTGTTTTCCTGGATGTACAGGGTGCTTATGATAATGTGGACTTATACAAGCTGTCACATATTATGTCAGATCTAGGTATTCCTGGAAAATTAATAAAATGGATTTTTAATTTTGTTTATGACAGAACTGTATTTGTTAAATTCAATAATATTTTACATGGTCCTAAGAAGTCATATAAAGGTCTTATGCAAGGCGCTTGTTTATCACCGATTTTATATAACTTATATACTTCTCAATTAATGTCCAGAATTCCTAATGATATAAAGGTTCTACAATTTGCAGATGACCTGCTTTTATATTGTGTAGAAAGGAATCTCCAATCAGCTGAGGCCAAACTTAATGGAGCATTAGATAACCTACAGCATTTTTATGAAAATCAACTTAAATTGACC